GGAAGAAAGTAGTTATTGGAAGGTTCTTTGGGCCCACTCCTCCTTGTCGTGCGATCGTTCAACAGATGGTCGATACTCAGTGGCTCTCACGAGGTAATGTTATTGTTCATCGTACTGGTTGTCATTATATTTTTGCATGCTCAAATTTAGCAGACGTAGAGGCGTTACTTGAACAACACACTTTCGTTTTGGATGGTCGTATTTGCAATAGTCGGAAGTGTAATAGGTATACCGTCCTTGCCAAGGTTCATTTTGATATGACTAGGCTTTGGATTCGAGTGTATGGGCTTCCGTTTTAGCTTCAAGACCCAAAGTGGGCGGTTGAAACCCTTAAACTCGTAGGTTTAGTCGAAAAACTCTCGAATATGATGGGGATGGCCTTTTCTGATGAGCTTGAATTTCGGGCAAGTTCTAGTGGATCTTTCTAAACCTCTAGTCCCTAGGTGTTTTGTCCCCGGTGAATTTGAGCCTATTAAGATTTATTTTCAATACAAAGGTGTGTTTATATTTTGTAAAAAATGTGGTGTTGTGGATCATTTTAAAGAATTCTTCCACTCTTTGGATTATGTGGCTGCTAGAAGAATTCAATCTTGTTTGGAGGCTTTTGAGGCTCAAGGATTAACAGTGCTCTATATTCCAAATACAAGACCCTTATATACCAATATGGTTGAGGGACAGCAGAATGTTTTTACAAATCGAAATACAAGGGTCAATCTTCTGATTTTAGCGCAAGATTTTGAGTATGATGACAATAGCTCTGGTAATGATGATGATAATTTGGAAGGTGATAATGATGATGATAATCTTGATGCGGATGGTGATGATGAGCCTCCTGATGATGATCAAAACGGAGTGGATAATCATGATGCTGACGCTAATAGCGAACCTGATATCTCCGACAATTCTAACGACAACTCTTCGAGTGCCGTAGATAACCATCAGCCAAATGGACATGGAAATGTTGTAGCTCCTCATGGTGATGATAATGATAATATTGAACCAGAATTTATTCCGATTAATGGGGTGTATCAAAATGGATATATGTTTCATTTAATAGGTGGTTCCTCTTCCTCACCTTCGGAGGCTCTGCTTTCGTGTCTGTTAAAGAGAAAGATAGCTTTACTTCATGTGAAACTGACCCTATAACTCCAGAATCTTACCATAACCAGGCTTCAACAAGGTATAGGGATGACAATTTAGCTGAAGAAAGGCTGGCAGAGGCGCTTAGAGCGGTAATTCCGTCAGGGGAACCTTATGCTCCCTTTACAACTCGTGCAAATTCTAATGATGGTGGGGGATTTTGTATGTCTGCAGCTCTTGAGGATAGTTTTCTGACGGATAGTTCGGACTCAGGCTCTACACCTCCGGGTTCACCTCAATTAATTCTCTTAATTCGGACTCTTCAATTTCTGCGAAGTCTGATAGTTCGTCGCCAATGGATATTGAGGTTGCTTTTCATTTGGCGACACTCTCTCTAGTTGACCATACCTATGATGCTGGTGCTGCAATGAATGCTCTGCCAATTGCCTTCACTCGAGCACCCCTTCCACATCATGTGCAGCCGCAAAAATTGGCCTACACACCAAAGCTAATGCTGCTACTACAGCCTGTGCAACAACTTCTGCCTTGCTAGCTGAGCTGCCACAACTTGCTTTCTACTGCCCTGCACTCGATGGCAGCAGCTACTGCTCAGCACTCCGAACCCATTGCTGCTACTGCCTTTGCAGCAACTTCTGCTGTGCCAGCAACACTGCATCCTGCTGCTTCTACTCACTTGCACGCGAAGGCAGCAACTACTGGGATGCATTCACTAGGTTCTCCTACTGCTCACTGCAAGCGTGAGTCCTCACCGAGGTCAGACTAGGTCAGGGAAAGGAAACGGAGTCAGCAAACCCCTTTTATACGGTGTAAGTCTTGTGATCAATTACCCTTCTTTGGGTACGCAGGTTCTTCTTGGTCACAAAAACGTCGCAAAGTAAAAACCTTGAATTTATATGGTAAAGGTGGCTACTTATTTTTCCCATCTCCACCCCCACATTTTTCTTCCACAGGGAAAGTGTTTCTCTGATATTTCGGTGGCACCAAACTTGGGGTTTCATAGTGCTTCTTCAAATGGTTTTTAGAATGCTGAATTTTACAAAGCAAATAAGCTTCATACTTATAGCAAAAGAAAGCATACAGATTGCTGGGTTTCCTCGACACTTAAATACCAAAAGCTGGCTACTTTGGATGCATCTTCCGGTTTGGGTTCTAGCTTTAATGGCACTGTACGTTCTGCTACTTCAGCTTCTGGTTTCTCAAGCAACCTTGGTTTGGCGGCTGGCCCTTCATAGTCCCCCAAGGTTTTATGAAGCTTACGACTTGAATTGTTGGGGAATAAATGACCTAACCTCTCCTAAGCTTCCCTATGTTTTGTGGTTACTACACTCTTTTGCTCCTAACTTTTCTTTTTCTTTGTGAAACTAAAGTTTCCGTATCAGTAGTGACTAGCTTACTTAGTACTTCTAGTCCTACTTCGATTTTTGGGGTTGATTCGGTTGGTACTAGTAGTGGTTTAGCGGTTTTTGGTTATGGTTCGAATGATGTTTCTTTTTGTTTTTTGTTGTTCCAATGTTGTACTCCGTAATATAATACTTTATAACGGATATATTAAATGTGTAATGTTTGGTTATGGTGCGCCTGTTGTAGAAGATAGACCTTAGGTTTGGAGTTTAATTCTTGATTTACTTGTATAGCTCCTAATTGAGCACCATCACGATAGATTGGACGAGTCAAATGTCATTAAGGGTTGGGATTCCTTTATTGATTTTAGACTCAAATCGAGTCTACTTGCTACCCCTTTAGAGGGCCGGCATATACTGATGAGTGACATTTATGGCACTCATAGGGTAGTGTTTTAGGTTATTTTCACTATATTTTTCATGCTTTTCTTTTATCATTTTTGTCATTTCTCCTTTAGTTTCTCTATTTATTCTTTCTTCGTGTTTTACTTTCCTTTATGTGCTTTTCTTTGTGTTTTCCTTTTATATTGCTCTTTTTATCTTCTATTTCCTCTCTTTGGTTTCTTTTGTAGGTGCTTAAGGACTTAGCTTCGCAAAGGATTCAAGAGGAGAAAAAAGAGCTAAGCAAAGGAGGTTCAAGCCTCTTGGAGAGGGCTCGGAGAGGGCGCTCCGCTCCTTCTCATTGTCGCGGGCGCGGGTTATATGCATCATTTTGGTGATTTTTTGGCAAGAACTCTCCGCGCCTTGGCCGTTGTCTAGCCGCGGGCGCGGAGGATCTGGAGAGACCGCTCCAGATTAGAGACACCGCGACCCCCTTCTCCACTTGGAACAGGGCATCTGCCGCGCCCTGAGCCGCAGGCGCGGGTGGCATTGCCGCGGGCGCGGGTTTTGCCCAGATTGCCTAGGGAGTTAGTTATGGGTTTCGTACCCAGTTCTGCGCGCCTGCGGGGTCTTCTTGGAGAGGGCGCGGTCGATCAATTTTTCTTCTTTGTCTATAAATACTCTTGTAAATCCTTTTGAAGGCTAACTTTTAGATAATTTTCATTTACTTAGATTTTAGAGAGAGAAACTAGAGAAAAGTTAGGGAGAAAGTAGAGATTATAATCCTTGGATTTGATTTGTAATTCAACATTGTTTCTTCAATCAAGTTTGTGATTCTTCTTCATATCAATCAAAGTTTGTGAGATTTCTTTCCTTTAAATTTACTTCAATTGCAATTTACTTTTATTGTTGAATGTTTGGTTTGGATTTTGATTTGGTTTTGAGAATTTGTTGATTGATTGTATTTCCTTTTGATTTTGCTTGAGATGAATATGTTTGTGATTGAATTAGTTTTGGCTTTAGATTTCACCAGATTAGTGAGTAGATTAGTTACTATGGAGAAGGGGAAGCATGCTTGATTGATGATTTTTGCTAGTTGATGATTCTTGATTGATTGATTATTGCAATTAAATTGGTTGACATAATTATGCATGTGATTAATTATACTAGGAGTGATCAACCTATAAGATTAATCTAGAGTGCATTGCAAATTTCAATGACATGAACAATTGATTTGAGAATTGCTTTAATTGATTGAATTTGATTATTATTCTCCTTGTTAGCCATTCATAGTGAACCCTAGTTTGGTTTATAGGAGATAACCTTTGAATTCCTTTGATTGAAACTATTGTTTGTCCCTTGCAATGTTTGAATCAATTGGGTGATCTATCAATTAGCATCATTGTTAAGCTTGTGTGTGGAACCTATATCCCAAGTGTTTAGTATATTGATTGATTTCTTTGAATTGTCTTGATTCTTGTTATCTTAGTTACCAAATCAACCATTGATATTTCTTGGATTTTAGCTTAAAATTAGACTATAGCATAGCTTCGATTCATTCCTTTGGGTTCGACCCTTAGCTTGCTCTATACTCGTATAAGGTTTGTTAAGCATCTACAAATTTAGTCTGGCCAAGGGAGAATTAGATGACGGCCTAGTTTCAACCCTTGTCATATACTTGGACGAATAATAGAGATGCTGACCAACTCATTATGTAGCTGCTGGATAGGGCTTACATGACCTCTGATTGGTTCCAAAACTATCCAGATAGTCGGCTACCCAATCAACCGATTCTCATCTCTGATCATGCTGCTATTTTCTTTGATGACTCTCGATTTATACAACGGTCAAATTGTCCTTATCAATTGGACAAGTGGTGCCTAGAATACCAAGATATAACGACTTTTTCCTTTCTACTTGGGAAAGACACATCTGGCTCACCAGTGTTCATTCTCTAAAAGAATCTACAACACGTCAAGTCTCGAGTTAGGAAGTGGTGTCTCCACAATAAAAAGTTTTGGGGTGTTGATTGGCAAAAAATTTCGAAGGATCTTTCCAACGAGGGTGAGTTAATTCACTCGATCAATGATGCCTCTCTCTACATGTCAAATGTTGATAATTCATAGGAGAGTATCTTATTGCAACTACAATTCTGGAGACAACGTTGCAAGAAAAACTAGATACTAAAAGGTGATTGCCCGTCTAAACTACTTTTTTTCAAGGTCAAGTGTCGACAGAAAAAAAAATGAGATTAGATTACTACTTGATGACCTGGGTGATCTCCAACATGGGCAGAGGGATGTTCAGCATGTTGTTGTAAAATCTCTTAATAAGACTTTTAAAACAGATTACATGCCTCCTTATGATCCGGAAATTGATACCGTCCTGCGGGAGTTAGATCTTCCTCGCTTTACTTCCTCTCAAATTGCTAATTTGGAACGTCCCTTCACTGCTTCTGAGATTCCAATTGCCATGTTTTCTTTAGGGAACTGTAAGTCTCCGGGGCCTGACGAAATAACATTTGTATTTTTCAAAACACATTGGGATGTTGTGGGAGATTTAGTGGTTTTGAGCATTCAAATTTTCTTTCAAACAGGGTTTCTCTTGAAAGAATGGAATCAGTCGCTCCATGTTATAATTCCTAAGATTAGTAACCAAACTGAGATGGGGCATTTACGTCCTATTAGTCTGTGTAACACAGTGTACAAGTGCGCGTCTAAATGCTTGGTGGCCAGATTGCGCCAGTATCTCCCTCTTCTAATCTCAAACTCCCAGCACGCCTTTGTTCAAGGCCGCGTTATGACGGATAATGTTTTATTGAGTCATGAGTTAATGGAGAAAATCAACTGTTCCAAAACTGGCACTAATTGGCTTGCTTCGATCAAAATTGATATGAGCAAAGCTTACGACCGAGTTCACTGGAGTTTTCTACTGCAGGTCCTTAAATCCTATGGGTTCCCGGCTCGTTGGTTGCAGATGATCCAATAATGCCTTACTACGGTTACTTACAAATCAGAGATCAATGGCACTACCTCGGACACCTTTAAGCCGCAATGTGGTCTTCGTCAAGGTGACCCTATCTCTCCGTATCTTTTCCTATTCTGCATGGATATATTCTCTCGTATGTTGCATTTGGGACAGGATTTAAAGATTTTTCAAGGAATTAAACCGTCCAGAGCCAGCCCCTCCTTTTAACATTTATTCTTTGCGGATGATGCTCTTATCTTCTTTCGCGCAACGTCTGCTTCTTGTTCTAATATCATGCAGATAATTCATGCAAATTTTGGGGGAAAAGCTAAACTTGTCAAAGTCCTTGATAAAGTTTAGCCCGAATATACGGGCCTCTTCTCAAGTAGAGTTCAAATCAATATTCCAAATGAAGCATGTGCAGGTGTTCGATCATCGCCTGGGGGCTCCAATCGACTTCATCGCCAAGAAGAGGGACCACTTCCAATTCCTCATTGATAAAATTTATGGAAGAATTAATAGTTTGAATGCTGTCTGGCTTTCACAATCACAGAAGTTGATTTTCATTAACTCTATACTTGTTGCAGTGGCATCCCATGTGCTCTCTTGCTATGAGTTACCGGTCTCTATTACTGAGAAAATTGATTCCTTAATTATGCGCTTCTTCTGGGTGCATTCTGATACTAAAGGTATGCATTCGGTTAATAGGGACACCATGCATCTTCCTCGTGGCATGGGTGGCTTGGGAATTCGCTGCTTATCATCCTTAAACAAGGCGTTGCTCATGAAACAGGTTTGGAGACTTTATTCCAACCCGCAGCTACTACTTTCCAAAGCTTTCGGT